TATTGGAAATTTTATTGCGTTTTAACCCTAAGAAAATAACATGATTAATTATATAATTATTTTTGGGGAATAATTCAAATTTTCGAAAATTATGATTATGGTATCTTTTGGAAGATTAATTATGTGTCATATATGTGTGATACGGATCCTATTGAATAATTATGGAAATTATGATAATTGATATGATGAGTGGATTTGGCCTTTCTGTGATATGATTTTGAGTTATGATATTCTTGAATAAATTGGAAAAACTATTATGAAAGATAATTGATATAATAGATGTTGGAAAATTTTTATGATGTATAATTGATATGATTTGGATCATAATTTTGATAGATGTTGGAAAATTATAGATATTTGAAAAATTATGATGCTCTTGAGCAACAATGATAATACTTAAAGAATAAATATTCCAAATATGGTAATTGAGACAAAATTGAATTTTTCTAATTGTGTGATTGTAATAAATTAATTAGTGGGAGGATAGCTTTGGGATGTACCTCCTAAAGTGATGAACAAAAATTTTGGACTTTATGCCTCTGATAATTATGTGATGTAAAAAGAGAATATCTTTTCTTCTCAAAGTGGTATCTGGCAGAATATCCGGGATACTAGTAGCAACTTTGGGAAGATGTTTGCACACTAGGAAGAGATGTGTATGATACTGGCCAAATTGTTGATATGTGACTGGCAGGATCTCCGGGTCTACCATGGTTCTCTTCCCACTAAATAAATCTTATAAAGATAATAGATTTAATTATATATATATATATATATGATGAATATTGAAATTGTTATGTGATTACATTTTTGATTTGATTATTATATTTGAGTTATATAATTGTGTTTTGATTGGGATTACCAGCTTTTGCTGATTGTCTTTGTCTTTGTCTTTGTCTTTGTGCTGCAATGATCTTTCGGGGGAGCAGAGTTTTAGTGAAGCAGGTTGCAAAGTTTGGGGCTGACAGTGAGAAGTGAGGATAACATCTCAAACTTTTAAAAATAGGCTTAGGATTTATAAATGTATTAGATATATTTAGATTCTTAAATTTATATTTTAAATTTTTAAATATTTACATTGAATATATATATTTTGGAATAAGATTATTTTTTAATTAGCCTTGCACTTGTCCCTGTTACAGATGCGGCGGTAACATTTCCCCAAATTGATTTTATTTTAGCTTCCGCACTATTTATGTAATCTTATTCAATAATTTAAATGTTATTTTTTTTTCCAATAACTCTATTATAGGAATATTTTATTATTGATAAAATTGTTAGAAATTTAGGGGTGTTACACCCAACTTCTGAAGAACTTCCTCATGTCGTGCTTCGTTAGCATCAAGTCTCAGGAGAACTTCTTCGTGTCTAGCACTCCGTCTGCGCAGCCCTTCCTCCACAAACTCCAAATGGTGCTCCATTTGTCGCGTTAATACCATTCCACAGAGCTCCTAGATCACAGCTCTAATACCAATTGTTAAGGACCACCTTCTACTCAGGTTTCTAATAATAAGAACAGGAACAGGATATTTGGTCAAAATAATCTCAGTTGTCTTATATATAGATCAAGGACAATTACAGAGACACTGAACAAAATAACCTACAGAGACCATTTACAGAAAATAAAGGGAATTTCAGTAAATTGAGAATTAACAAGCAAGAAAAGATAGTGGGAAGCACATATAAGAGGCTTCACTCTCTCCCATCCCCAAAGGGCCCAAGCAATCCCAATATGATTCCAGATGCCTTTCCATGCTCCCATCTTCTGTTTATAACGGCCTCCAAGTCACCCCCCTGGGTGCACCATTCTGTTAGGGGACATTTTGGGAAACCCTTATCTTAAATGGCAGCCCTTGTGTGTCATTCACCTGTGCTATATTCACTTGAGCTGTTTGGGCCTGAGTCCACACCTTCCTATTGCTATCCCTCTTATATTTCTTGATTGAGATTGTATCAATCTCTTAGGATTTGTTTCCTTATTTTAGGAGTCCCTTGTTTAGTATAAATAGGAACTAGTACTTTGTGTTTTGTAATCAAATCAACCACTTAATAACACATTAACATACAATATTATTCCGTCTTCTCCTATTCTTCCCCCCTCTATACCTAAACTATAATTTTAATAGAGACAACACAACAGGGGTTGCATGGTGCAACATTAAGAACTACGGTCTCAAACATATGCATATATACACAAACAAATATTCAAAGCTGATGTCTACAAGAGTCAATGAATTGGTGAATCCAGTGGTCTAAAATACTCTCTTTATTGTAGAAATTGGAAGCAGAATAAATTTTCTCTCAATCACCGAATAGGTGAGATTTATAAGTGTATATACTAGAACTCTTCAGTCACAGCTACTTAGGGCCTGTTTGGTGTGATGTACAAGGCCTGATAGTATAAGCTTATGCTATACGTTATGATATTTTTAGTTGTTTGGTGTGACTATCGTATAGTATAAGCTTATACAACAGGATCCATTTATACATCAAAATGATGTAAACTTAATCAGGCCTAGGAGGGTAGGATTAGGCCTGATAAGGGGTTGATGTATTAACCAATGCAATTCTCAAGAATTAATATATTATTTTAATATTAGTATATTAAAATAAAAAATAATTTTTCAATATATAATTTGTTAAAATATTGGAGATTTTTATTTTTATAAAAAAAAATATATTTTTTGGACACACTGATCAACATATTTCTATAAAAAAAAATATCATCTGATATATTTGGAAGAATTATGTAAATTCATTATTAAAAGGCATTTTTGACAAAAATATTTATTTTTATCCTATCTAGTATTATACAGTGTATTACCAAACATTGGATGATATAATCTTATACAATATCATGCCAAACGCTGGATAGTATTAAAATTTAATAAGATCTTATACAATCATGCCTTATACTATCAAGTCTTAAACTATCAGGCCTTATCTATACTATGTATCAAACATGCCCTTATTTGTATAAGTTGTTACAGCTGTCAACCATAAGCTGTTAGCCATTATTACAGTTGTTAGCCATTTAGTATATAAAGTTAGCTTCATTTCTCTCTCTGTAATTACGATTCATTTTGTTAAGATTCAATATACATCGCTTTCTTTTCAGCACTTTCTCTCTCAACCTTTTCTCTCACTTTCTCTCATTTTCTTGAACTTTCCTTCAATGGATCTCTTCTAATATGGTATCAGAGCTCTCTCTGAGGGCCTGATCCGTTTAGATCTTTATCATGTCTTCCGCTTCCGACTCTGATTCAAATGCCTCTGACAACTCGAACGCGTCACAACAAAGATCCAGATCTCAACAAAAGTCCACTTCGATGAAAATCAAGACGGCTTCTCTCTTCAATCTTCAAATTTCTGCAAAACTTATTGAAGATAATTACCTTTTCTGGAATCAGATCATTGATCCGGTAATTACTTCACACCAATTGCATCGTTTTCTTGTCAATCCAAAAATTCCTCTCAAGTTTGTGTCAGACGAAGATAGAGAGAATGATATTCTGAGCTCCGCTTATGTTGATTGGCTCAATCAAGATCAGATACTACTTACATGGCTCCTATCCACTATTTCCGAGTCTATTGTAAATGATATTCTGCCTGTGAAGCACTCCTTTGAGACCTGGGACAATATTCATAAGCTTTTTCATGGAGTCATGAAGTCTCGAGTTCGTCAACTCAGATCTGAGTTGAAAACCATGAAGAAAGGCTCAAAGTCCAATAAAGAATACTTAACACGTATCAAAACACTGTGTGACTCACTCAAGTCGATTGGGAAGCCTATTTCTATTGAAGAGCACACTGAGAGTCTGAGACTATTCTTGAAGGATTACCATCAGAGTATACTTCTTTCGTTATGATGATACACGGACGAGAACGAGACTGCACTATTGCAGATCTAACAGTGGAGTTACTAGCTCATGAACAGCTGTTAATCAACCAAAACGATACTCTATTGACTAAAGGAGCAACTATAAATCTCACCCAGCGTCCTCCAAGCTCAGATCGAGAAGTTGCAGATGAAGAAGATGACTCTGTTTCTAAAACCAGAAAACAGAGTCGAACAATGCATCAAAATTTCAGTTAGTTCCACATCTCAAGTGGTCAGAACAGGGGACGAGGACGTTCAGGTGGAAGGACTGCTCGTGGAAGAGGACGAGGCACCAGAACACATGTCCACTGTCAACTTTGCTATAAATTTGGACATGATGTGAGAGATTACTGGAATTGATTTGAAGAGAATTTTGTTCCGAATCTACCTCCACCACAAAACACTCCTTATCCTCTCACTACTTTGTTCATCAACCACCTCAACCAGTAAGGTCCTTCCAATATCAACATCAGTAATCTCAACCAATGAGATCCTTCCAGTATACAAGACCAACAAGTCAGCCTCAGCCTCAAGCATTTTGCTGCTCCCTCTAGTCTACCTTCCACGTGTAGTTCTCCCCCTCTGGTTGAATGGTTACCAAATTCTGGTGCATCAAGTCATGTAACTCATACATCTCAAAATATTATGCAAGGCCAGCAACTTATTGGTACTGATCATGTTCTAATTGGAAATGGACAAGGTTCATTTCTCTCTCTGTAATTACGATTCATTTTGTTCAGATTCAATATACAATGCTTTCTTTTCAGCTCTTTCTCTCTCCACCTTTTCTCTCACTTTCTCTCATTTTCTTGAACTTTCCTTCAATGGATCTCTTCTAATACAAAGCTGATATCTACAAGAGTCAATGAACTGGTGAATCTACTGGTCTAAAATACTGTCTTTATTGTAGAAATTGGAAGTAGAATAAATTTTCTCTCAATCACCAAATAGGTGAGATTACTTCAAGAAAATGAAAAAGGCATAATGATACCATCAAAATCAAATAAACTATTAGTAAGATCCTTTGTGTAACGGAATGAATGGTCCACAACTGTAAAAGCAAAAAATATAAGGTTGTTGGAAAATAGAAGTAACTGCTTATGGTGGACAGAACAAACACCTGATTGGAAACATTGGTTATGGCTGTAAAGCAAGACCGTAAAAATCCCCTGCTTTGAAGCTGGCTCAAGAAAAATCGCTCATGATCTATACAAATGAATGCATCAAGAACATAGAGTGATATTGTCTTTCCAGGTTCACTGCCATGGGTTGCATCTTTTATGACCTACAATTTTAAATCAATTTAACTCAGTTGAAACTGTACATACTTGACTTAAGAATATTTATCAAAATAGATATAAATACAAAAAATGAATTCGACAAATTATTAAAAAGACAGAACGAAGCATGACATTGATACCATATGAAAGCAACAAGACCATAATATCTAGAGGATATGTAGATAAAAAAATAATAAAAAAACTGATGTTTTTCTAGTCTAATAATGCGAGAATAGAATAGTAACTCATAATTTACCAGAGACACTTCAACATAAGTCAAACAGAAACATATGCCGTATTTTTTAGGTCAATTTAATCATAACGGTACAGCAGTCCAAATGGAGGCCACTTCTATTCTGGCAAGTACAAATACAACAGCCAACAATTTTTGACCCATAATTCCCCACTTCCCCTTTTAATTAAATAAGAAATTGTATACAGTCAAAAGGCTAAAGTTTTTCAGAAAACAACCAATAATCTTCAAGACTCAAAAGCATGACCTCCTTTCCATCCCATACTAAAAAAAACATTAGAGCCTAAGCACATTAAAAAAAATGCATGGTGCACATAAAAAACATTGAGTAGCAAATAACCAAATCCAAGATGCTCTGAGCCTCTTTTCTCAAAGTAGAAAAATTTGCACGAGCCAGTTCTGCCTGTTCTTTGTCAATCTGGGGTAAATGAAAAAAAAAAAAAAAAAAATAGAAACCATGAAGAGTTAATCTGGCACCAGATTAAATTATCGCAAGTCATTTGCACAAAATTAGAGAAAATGTACCTTTGGGAGATCAATATATTCATTATCTTGTTCATTGAGCAGCAAGAATTGGAGAACAGTGGTTGGAACATCAGGATCAACCACATTCTGACAATACTGGAAATAGCTAAGAAGCAAGGCATATTGACTGTAAAACATGCAAAAGTAAGTTTTGCCAACCAAAACAGCAAACAACCATAGAGGCAGAATCAGTCACTGAACAAGTAACATACCGCCTCCTAAGAGCTTCTGATGATTCGTTTCTAAGAATTGCCATGACAAGCTTAAACAATATGGTCAGACAAGCACCATTCGATAATTGCTTCACCACAATGAGATCAAGGCATGTGATGTTATCAGAACTCAGACTGCCAGGGAACAAGAACCTATCATCACGCAGTTTAGCCATGCATGTTAATGCTACCTGAGGGAAATTCCACATATGTAAATATACATCAGAATAGCAGGATAGATTGCATATGAAAAAGAATAACTAGGATAATTGAAAAATCCATCAAAATTTCTAGAAGATAAAATGATGTTTTTTAAATGTTTACCTGCGATAATATGAATGCCATCCTCAAAGAACAGTCTGGAGAAGCAGAAGCACTAAGGGATGCATCAAGGACCCTGGCAATGCAATGTAGCAGTTACAAAGAGCACAACAATGACAAGTAACTATCTTTGTTTTTTCACCACTGAAGGAGCGTAGCAACTCACTGAAATAGAATTTCAGATCGATCTTCAAGCATTGTTAATCTTCTAGAGGCAGACACCTTTTCAAAGTAGCTCAAAGTTAGATAATATAGGCCACAAAAACATTAGTATATGGAAAGTAAGACAAGTACCTCAACAATCTGAGACCAGGCAGTCACCATATGTAGCTGTGCAGCTTGTTCCTCAAGATTTTTATTGTATTTCCACCCCCATCTCAGTAACTGTTGAATTGTCTCTCTTACATCATTTAGGTCAAGTTCACTGCCGAGATTACTCACCTGGATATATGCACAATGATACTTGTCAAACAAGAAATAGATTAAGTTTCATATAAATACATTAACAATTAAGCTCCCCCACCCCCAAAAAAAATTGTCTCTCTTACATCATTTAGGTCAAGTTCACTGCCAAGATTACTCACCTGGATATATGCAGAATGATACTTCTCAAACAAGAAATAGATTAAGTTTCATATAAATACATTAACAATTAAGCTCCCCCACCCAAAAAAAAAAAAAAAAAAAAACTAATTGTTAGGTGTGAACGACTCTTTACACATTCGCGATTAACCCAAAAATGAAATGGGATTTGAAAAACAAAAGTCACTGGATTAAAGATAAAAATCAATATCTTCAATAATGATATTATCAATTTTTTATAAGAGAACTAACCTGCCAAAGTTTGTCATGGAAGGAAGCAAGATCAATTAGCCGGTCACCTCTCTCAGAATAATAGTAGACACCACCCTTTCCAGAATTTCCCAGTATCTCTTCTGCCTAAAATTATATCCAGCCAAAAGCAGGTAAGAACAAGATGAACAATAGTCAAGTAGTAGAGCATCAGCTGAAACTTGTATTCCATACTTAAAAAATAAGCCATTTTTGTAAAAGAGGGAGAGAGAGAGAGAGAAGGAAAGAAATACAGATTTAATGTGATTAAAGGACTAGTATCTCACCAGCAAGTCATATTTCATACTAGCCACAATATCTGAGAGCTTACTAGTGGAATCTGGACATCTAAACTGGATGATTTCAAGTAATTCTAATACCTGAGATATACAAAGCAGCTGCAACTAAGATTATCGAGAATATGGAAGTAGCTATGGCACTGATGGTAACTTTTTAAAAGTTATGATAACATCATTTTAAAAAAAAAAAAAAAAAAAGAAACTCCCCATTAGAAATTATGATAACATCATAGAATTATGGAAATTGTTCTTGTTTGCAATCATAGTATACACTTTATCATCATAGAATTAGAAGGGAGTGAGGAAAAACCATGTGACTCATTGTCTACACCTGCATAAATTTATACTGTGTAATGCATTAATTACAAGTAAGAGCTAATACTAGTATCATCATAGAATTAGAAGGGAGTGAGGAAAAACCATAATGGAATTGCGCAAATCACCAGATGCTCGAATGTAGACCTATATTGGTAAGATTCGTTCTTTGATGCAGGAATTCTTAGCTATGTTGCCTCATGCTACAGATGCCTCTGAGTACAAGAAGCAGGTGGAGCGCTTCTTTATGGTTGTAACCCTTTCCGGTCTTCCAGAGGAATTAGAAAGTGTTTGTGAGAATATTTTAACCAGTGCTAGAACTTCTAGACTTTATAGTGCCTCTTGAACTTTAAAGATAAAGCAACACTGGCACCTGCTCTTGCTCCTTCTCATGTGCCAACCACTAATTCAACTGCCCTCATCTCTCGCGCCAATGATTCCAATTGGAACAGTGGATGCAGTCGTGACGTGACCGTGGACAGGGTGGCCGTGGACAGAGGCCTCATTGCAACTACTGCCAGAACCTTGGGCACGTTGAAGAGCGTTGCTACAGGAAGTACCTCATTTGAAGCCACCAACTGCCAACTTTGCTCAGACCGATGTTGTGCAACCTTCGACTGGATCAGTAACTATTTCGAGTACAGATTATGAGGCTCTTCTTAAGAAGATTTCTTCCTGGATTACTGCTCAAAATACAGGTAATCATGTTCCTTTTTTTTCCAGTCTTCAGTCTTTAAATTGTCAATCTTGTCATTAAAGAAATCACACTCACTCCTCCTTTGCTAATAGAGTCAATAAAAGAGCTAATGCTCCCTTTTCTATTGTTCATTCTGATTTTGGGGTTTGAGTCGAACTATGTTTGCTTTGGGTTTTTAGTATTTTGTGACTTTTATTGATGACTTTTCTAATTGTACTTGGGCTTATTTAATGAAAAATCATTCCGAATTATTTTCTATCTATAAAAAATTGTGCTAAGATTAATACTCAATTTGGTGCTTCTATTCGAGTCTTACGCAGTGATAATGCTAAAGAGTATGTGTCTCTTGAATTTTCTGATTTTTTGAAGAAATATGGGATGTGTCACCAGACCATCTGGTTGAAACTGCACATACCCTTCTCATTCATATGAATGTTCCACTCCGTTTTTGGGCGGATGCTATTATCATCTCTTGTTTTCTCATCAATCTCATGCCCTATTCCATGCTTAATAATGAAGTCTCACACAATGTCTTATTTACAGGTGTGTCTCCCTATCCACTGCCTCCGCATGTATTTAGGTGCTCTTGCTTTGTTCATAACCTCACTCTGGGAAAAGACAAATTAACATCTAAAACCTTCAAGTGTATCTTCCTTGGTTATACTCGCTTTCAAAAAAGGTATCTGAACACTACTCTCCTGACCTCAAGCGCTACATTGTATCTGCAGTCTGCAGATGTCGCCTTCATGGATCAGCAACCCTTCTCTAGTTCCCAAACTTCTATATCACAGGTTGATCATATTCTTCTAATTCCCTTCCTTGATTTGTCTTTACCAGTCGCAGGTGTCGACCCTACAGCAGACCTTACCCCAACTGACTCACCACGCTCAACGGTTGTCTCTTCCCTTCCGAATCCTCCAAGAGAGATTACTCCCATTGCCCATCACAAAGATATCTTATTATCCACTCGCAACCCTCATCCACTTTATGTTTTCTAGAGTTACGACCGACTTTCTTCACAATATTTTACCTTTATTTCTAGTCTTTTTTCTGTTTTCATTCCTAAGACCACAGGTGAAGCACTATCTCATAGTGATTGGCACTAGGCCATGATTGATGAAATGACGGCACTTCACTCCAATGGCACATGAGATCTTGTTCGTACTCCTCTCGGAAAGTCTGTTGTCGGTTGTCGTTGGGTATTCACAGTCAAAGTTGGTCCTGATATTACTGTTGACCGCCTCAAAGCCTGCTTAGGGGCCAAGGGATACACTCAGATTTTTGGCCTTGACTATGGGGACAATTTCCTCTCTTGTTGTCAATTTAGCTTCTGTTCGCTTGTTTCTTGCACTTACTGTTATTCACCACTGGTCCCTTCTTCAGCTTGATATAAAAAATGCCTTCTTACATGGTGATTTGCAAGAGAAGTATACATAAAGCAACCACCAGGATTTGTTGCTCAAGGGGAGTGTTCTGGAATGGTATGTAAGCTTCGTAAATCCTTATATGACCTGAAACAGTCTCACGGGCTTGGTTTTGTCGCTTCAGTTCTGTTGTTCAAGCCTTTGGTTTAACCCGAAGTGAAGTCAATCATTCTGTTATCTATCGGCACAGCTATTCTAATCAATGCATCTACCTCCCGGTCTATGCTGATAACATAATTATTACCGGCAGCGATCAAGCTAGGATTGATCAGTTAAAGAAGTACTTATTTATTCAATTTTAGACCAAAGACCTTCACAGTCTTCGTTATTTCTTAGGGATCGAAGTGGCACAATCCAGACAAGGCATTTCCATTTGTCAGAGAAAATATGCCCTAGATATCCTAGAGAAGACTGGTATATTGGGAAGTAAGCCCATTGATACAACTATAGATCCTAATGTTAAGCTATTACCCAGATAAGGGGAGCCATTGGCAGACCCCAATCATTATCACCGATTAGTTTGAAAGTTAAATTATCTTACTGTGACAAAGTTGGATATCTCTTTTGTAGTTAGTGTGGCAAATCAATTCCATGACTCTCCTTGTGAGACTCTTGTTAGAATGCAATTTTCATAATTCTTTGATACATCAAAAGAGCACCAAGAAAATTTTTATTATACACAAATAAAGGGAATACGGAGGTGTGTAACTATTCAGACGCTAATTGGGCAGGTTCTCCTCGAGACAGACACTCTGCTTTGGGGTATTGTGTTCTCCTTGGAGGAGATTTGATTTCATGGAAAAGAAATAAACAAACTCTGATAGCCAGGTCAAGCGCAGAGGCAGAATATCGGGCAATGGGAAATGCAATCAGTGAGCTCATCTGGTTAATACAATTCATTAAAGAACTAAGTGTAATACCCCAGGATAAATAGTAATTTATAATCATAATAAATTAATAATAATAATTTATAAATTAGTAGTAATAATAATAATGTATATTTATAATATATATATATATATATATTAGGACTAATGATAAATTGTGATAATAATTATTTGATTAATCATTTGATTGGTCATATATAGTAATTTATGCATTTAATGTTATTATAGCAATATATTATTGTGTATATAGTAATTTATGCATTTAATGTTAATATTAATTGATTGGTAATGTAAATAATTATTTTGGTAATAATTAGGTTATATTAATGATAAATTGTGATAACCAATAATAATAAAACATAATAATAGTATTTATCCATATGCATATCATAACATTAAATGCATTGGATTAGGATGAGTCAGCATACTTTATTTGATAGATGAGAATGAGTCAATCATGAGTCAGATGAGTCATCTATGAGTCAGAAATATCCTAGCAAATAAAAGGAAATAAATTCTACGAAGCCTATATCTTGAACCCAAAGCCTCAGCTATAAATACGGACTTAGCCTAACCAAACTAAAATCACTTCCCATCCTCAGCATTTCTCCATTTCTCTTCTCCTCTTCTCATCTTCTCCTCTTCTACTCTTTCTTATTATTTCAAATTTCTATTTTGTTATTATTTTTCTTTGGCTACCAATCGCACTTCTCTTCTTTAATCGTTTTTCCTGCTAAAAGTCATCAAACACGGAGACCAGGTAATCTTAATCCTTAGGAAATTTTAGGATGGTTTCATTTGAAATATGTTATATGTAAGGGTATTTACATTAAATTATTTTAACCTCTAGAAAGTAATAGGATATATTATATAATTATTTTTGTTATAAATAAAAATAATGAATAATTGATATGATTGGATTATTTGAATAACTATGTTAATTTATATGATTGGATTATTTGAATTATGATATCCTTGAATAACTATGATAATTGATATGATTGGATTTGAGCATTACTCTGATAGATGTTGGATATTTGAAATTATGATAATTTGAAAATTATACTCTTGGTTAAATTGATGTGGAAATTATTAAAACTATTTGAAGAAATTTTTCAATTGTGACAAGATTGAATCGATTGTGTGATTGTAATAAATAATGGTGGGAAGATAGCTTTCGAGATAGTACCTCCTGAAAATGATGAACACAATCTTTGGTCTCTATGCCTTTGATATTATTTGATGTGACAATGATGTTATTCGTTCTTCCCTTTCTAAAGCAGTATCTGGCAACAAAGACTCTCGGGGTATTAGTAGCAACTTTGGAGAAAGGTGTGCACACTAGGATTGATGTGTTAATGATGGCCACTTTTGATTATACATGGCTGGCAACAGGGTCACCCGGGTCACGTGGGTAGGCTGGCAACAAGACTCCCGGGTCTACCATGGTTCTCTTCCCACTAAATGAACTTAATAAAGATAAATATGATGAATAATGAAATTGATATTTGATTTGATTATTATATGAATTTTTCAGTTATATTAATTGTATTTTTTTTATTGGGATTACCAGCTTTTGCTGACTGTTTGTGTTTGTGTGCTGCAATGGGGGAGCAGAATTTCAGTGAAGCAGGTTGCAAAGGATAGGGCTAGCAATGGGCAATGAGGATTACGACTCAGATATTTCTAGCTAGTCCTAAATTTTATGTATAAGACATAGTCTCTGGTTTCATTTTAATGCAATAAAGTTAGCCTTGCACTTGTCCCTATACAGATGCGACGGTAACATTTCCCCAAATTAGTTTTATATTAGCTTCCGCAATAATTATAAGATCCTAATAAATAATTTATTGTGAATTTTGACAATTTCTTTATTATAAGAATATTTTAAAAATTGTTAGAAATTTTGGGGTTTTACACTAAGTCTGTGAATAACGGCCCATGAAACTCATTTGTGACAATCAAGCCGCATTACAAATATCCTCTAACCCAGTCATTCATGAGAGGCCCAAAACACATAGAAATTGATTGTCACTTTGTTCAAGAAAAGATTCAGTAAGGAGAGATCGAGACAGCATTTGTCAGTTCCAGTGATCAACTTGCAGATATTTTCACCAAGGCTCTTAGAGGTCCACAAATAGAGTACATATGTAACAAGCTGGGAGCTTACGATATATACGCGCCAACTTGAGAGGGAATGTTGGAAATATTATCTGTATATTTTACGATATTTAATGTGAATATTCGTTTCCTTATTTCATTAGGATTTGGGTGAGGTTTGGGCTTCTCCTTTAAGCTCATTAGGATCTCTATATATTGTACACCTTTGTATCAGTTCAATACAATATTCATATTTCTACATTCTCAATTTATCTTATCCTAGAGTAAAGTCATTGACAAAACAAATGCATACATTGACACAAAATGGAAGAGAATAGAGGTCTTATTTAGGGAATAATATAGACGACAACATTGATTCTAGAGGACAGATAATGGCATGGGGTTGATTAGATAGCATGCAGCCAATATGTCATCGCCCCAAAAACGAAGTGGCACATTGAAGTGAAGTTGCAAGATACAAGTTGTTTCAACTTGGTATTCATTTTTCCTTTTGGCTACACCATTTTTGGGTATGAAAGGAGCATAATGATATTCACGCGCAATATCATTGCAGAATTTTCATAAGGGTATCAAATTGCAATTTGAACTACTATACAGAGAGAAGCATCAATTTATTTCCACTTGTCTTGGTTCTTGGTAGAAATATCCTTGGCTTGTTTGACTAGGTGATCAGGATTGCCCTGCCATTCAAACCATAAGTCCACAACAGCAGCACAAGAGTCAAGAGGTGTAATTTGCTACACCCACCAATTTGTCACATGAAATAAAGGGGACAGTGGTGTAGGTAACAGTGAAAGGTGCTTGAGATATAGTGTCTAGGTAGACATGCTGGTTTGGGAGAAGATTGGGGTTAGGAAGCAAGGTCGAAGAACTCACAGGTTTGGATAAGAAGGCAAGGGAATGGATCGTGTGATCTATGTGTGAATGAGGGAAAGAGACGACTTTTCTGGTCAATCTAGTCCCTCTGTTGTGCATATTTCCCCCACTCATTCATCATTTAACTCTCATCATTTCTCTTACAGCTTATGCTGTAATTGAGGTCAAATTCATTCAGGTATGTGTTCAACGAGGCACCAGTGTATGAGCTATATGGCAATCAGCCATCATAAAAAAAAAATCCAGCAACGAAATTAAAATATGTTAGTAATTTTAATACCCAGTTTCTACGTTGATGGTAGTGAATTTGTAGTAAACATTATAAAATCCAAGATATGCAATTGATATGTAGACATGGGATTGCAATTTTACCCACCCAGTTCTACATTTAACAAGTATCAGTACCTTACTCTTACTGACAATTCCTATAGCCGCATTTTCAGAAGTATCTTGAAGCAAAAATGGAGAAATGGCCTTCCCTCCACCAATTTCAGTGATACCTTGTCCAAAAAGATGAGAAAGGATTGACTGACATGCTTCTCTATGCTTGGAACGACTAACGTCACCAGCATGTAGCTCCAAAGCTAAAAGTTTTAAGAGCCATGCTCTCTGAGAAAAGCGAGCAAGGGAACAAAATACCCATATCAAACCCAAACAACATGTATAGATCAAAAGTAATAGATTAATCCTATTCCTTCACCGGTAATTAAAAGCATGAGCCAAAAATATTAAAAACATAAATAAATAATGTGAATATGCAACGCTGCATGCAGAGGGTGCTTAATGAAGAATCATTAGAGCCAATATTTATGCCTTTATACACTTGTAAAGATCCAAAAAACTATACCGTCATCAAACAACAAAGTATCAAACTGAGTATATTGTTTCCCAACATGCTGACTTTGATTAAACTTGATATCATTTCATATAATAAAATTGTCATTTTCTTAAAACTATCAAGTATCATGTATCAATACATCATGAAGGAGCTCCAGAATTCAATATATCTGAGAAGTTTTTATCATTTTCAATTCTTGGAATCTAGAAAAATACTAACAATTTAAAATTTTATTTGAGTTGCAAGCGCTCAGCACACAGATAATAACACAGGAAACCCTAAAGGTTCGTACAGCACATAAAGCACTCTCTGCATATATGAGTCTCTGTCTTGTTCTAGTTTGGAAACAACCACTCACTCATTCTAACATTGTCCAACAGCCACTTCTGTTTGGGATAAGTTTCCTGAAATTTTTAACAAACGTTGGCAGCATCCTTCTAGTTTTGGTTGAGCTCTTATCAATTAGCTTTATAGAGGGTACGGAAGGAGTATGTAGGGGAGAATAGATCCTCTCATGTTCAAATTTCACATGACCTTGTCATGTGCAAATTTTGTGTCTATATCTCTCTTCATAAATATTCACAAAAGTCATGTGAAAATTGTGTGTTTATATCTCTATTTATAAATATTCACAAAAATAGTACCCCAGCTATTTAATGTCTATGAAGAAAGACATGTTATAACATGAGAGGATTCATTCCATGAGTAGGGAAAATCAATACAGTGGCGTGTACTTTTTGCAGTACATAGGTCAATTGAAGGGTGCTTTGCTATCCATATTATGATCTAGGATAAGTTAGTTTTTATAGTTTCTCCCCTATGCCATGCACATGACTTCTTTTAGGGGCTTTTACTTTCGAGTCACATTTCTTCTTTTATCAAAAATAGAAACAAATACTGGCAGGTGATGGTGTGATAAACCCCAGTACTACCAAGTTCACTAACATAGAGTGCGAAGATGACAGAATCAAATATGGGAAAAAATCATAGAATTTGATGGTTTTAAAAAAATAAAAATAAAAAATAAAAAAGAACCTGATGAAGGGAACTGATACGAAGTTGTTGGTGGCTATTCCGTTTAGGAAGTGGAGCAATACCAATTGTATCAAGGTGCTGCATTTTAGCAAGGGAAAGAGTTTCAAAGATATATCACCCGAGGATAATTACATGTATAAAGAACCAATTCATCCCAAAAGCATTTAGGTGAATGTCTATTTAATGGTTTCCTATTATATTTTTCTTAAAAGCGCCCTCACACAATAGATCATTGGAGTTGAAGGATGGACAATGCACAATCCCACTCAACTATGCTAAAAATACTCCACAATATTTAATTATTTATTAATACAATAGGGCGGTCACAGAAACTTTGATACTGTGTAAAGAACAAATTCAACCCAAAAGTTTAAGTTGTTAGGTGAAGATCACGTTAATAGTTTTATATTATTATTTTTAATTAGATGTAACTATAAACAAGGACTAGAAGCTAAAAGGATGCTCAAATAAATCAAAAACTGTTTACCTTAATAAAGAATTGGTACTTTTTATTTGACAACAGATCCATCACAGGTACACAAGTTAGTGGATCTACGCACAACGCATAAAGGAGCTGCATCAAGCCAAAAGTCAAAATTCCTTTTAGAAAAAATGCAAAAAATCAGAGTCTCTTAACTCAGTTAGGTTAGTACAAGATCAATTACATCTGACCTGAAAGCCAAATTCATGAATTAAATAATTTACATCAGGCTTCATAAGCTTCTCCAGGATATCAAGAATAACCTTCATGCAACTGTAGATAACATTGTAAGGGCACAGTTGTATTTACAAGAATCATGTAACAAAAGATAAAGACTAACCTGTAATAAAATTTAGGCTGTAAGACTGTTTGTTCAACAGGCATATCAAGATTAAATTTAAGTAGTAAATGAGTGATATTTGGAGCTGGCCTGTTGACGTTGTCAATTAGAAGCTGAAAACATGAAGGTAGATGCAAACAGAAATTTAGAAAAAAACACAAGGAAAGAGGATGCAAAACAATTAATTGACAGACAGAAGACAAACCTGCAGAACAAGAATGCCAGGATCATCATTGTTATTGTCAACAGTCTGATACTCTTCTGACCGCAACTCAAGGCAGGCAGCATAATCTTCTATCAAGCTGTTTGCGGCATTAGATTTAAGCAATAGTTGAACAAGCCCAACCATGCGAGAGCTATCACCCAAAAAAACAATATATCAATTACAAATTAAGCATGATATCCTGTTAGAAAAACTCAACAAATTACAAATTGAGAACATAAAAATGGGAAGGTATTTAGAATGCCTTAAAATACTCATGATTTTGATAGAGGATTGCTGAACTTTTGGCTGAATATCATATCTGACATACTCCAACAGGGCCACTATTTGATTATGATCATGGGAGAGTATAATATCCAATGGCTGCAAGCAAATTATCAAAAAGGATACTAGCACAGGTAAGTAGTTATTCAATGCTATAATGAAATAATTAACTAAGACAAGGTCATGCAGACTCCAAAATTTACACTTGAACGCAATAAATGGTTAATTTCTCATCAAATTGTCAATATTAGATAACATGTCTACAATTAGGATATTGGAGAGTTTAACATGGCACAGTTATCATGAATCATGATCCAAACTAAAATCCTTAACAAGGCATTGAAAGCAGAAAATGAATTTTAACAATTCAATAGAGAAATGCTAAATCATGCATAGAATATATGGGGCAACTGACTACCTTGACAATGCCTTCTTAAAAACTTATCCATAAACAGTAAGTTTTGTGGAAAAGCAGAAAAAATAGGTGAAACAAGCAACTTCAAATATATAATTTGAATGCAATGTGATGACTAATAGTACAGAAAATTGAAACGGTTACCTGGTATAGAGGACGCCAATAATCAGAAAGCAGTAAATCTTTTTCAAGGACAAGTATTATAATTTCCAGAGAAAGCTGCACTGCATTTTCTAAAAGCTGCCCATATATTTGACTAGTACGATCAGCAATGATGGAATTAACTCCTGGCAGAAGAATACCCATTATGTTCCGAAAGGCAGTCTTGCCACTCATGAAATCCTGAAACAGATCAAATTATTTAATAAACAAAGCAACTGGTAAACTTAAACAAGGATTGAAAACTAGAATACAATAATTCATGAAAATAATTGACGTAGCAACGCTACAATTGATACAAAATTTGCTGTTGAATACTATTGTTAGAATAGTTCAGTGTATATAATAGAATAGTCCCACATCTTGTGGGTTTAGCCTATTAGGTCTTTTAGTCTCTTCAATAAAGAGCTTTTGTACATTGTAACATACAATTTATTCAATATACCATTATTCTATTATCCAATCTCAAGTACTATCAAGCTCATAAGAGGATAATGATAGATGCTCATTCAGCAAAGTACTTAATCCATAAATCTTACAATGCTAGAAGATATATTATAGCATACAAATTCAAAATCAAGAATAATAACACATGCCACATCCTACGTAAACCTGAACAAGAATATTAAAAGCACATACTTTCAGCAACTCTAACACAGGGATCTGTGTCTGAAGTGGTGACAATTCTTTTGTTGTTGAAAGTCGTGACTGATCAACTACACCCTCAAAATCCTCATCCTTGATGTCATACAAGCTTAATATCCTGCAATTTTAAGTTACATGAAATAACATTTTGCATTTATAATCAACAGCCCATGCCAGAGCTTGTTCCTAGTTTGAATTACAGAGATCAGTTGCAATCAATATGAAGATGGAAAGATAGCAAAACCTGTAGCCTCTGAATGTAACTCAAATAAATGCAATTAGAAAAAATAAGCAATCCAATAATCAGTTATGAACTACATCAAAGACAACAGAGGCATAAAGCCAATTATTTCTCAAATATCAGAAACAGAACCACTCACATCTGAAAATGTTTAAGACAAGCACCAACCAACTGCCATTTTTCACATGGATCTGCATAAGCTCTCTGAGGAAATGGCCCAAAAACATGATCATAGATGAACCTAAAGATGCCAATAAATCTGGGGAAAAAAATTTTCTTTAGAGTGCAAGCAAGCAAAAATAAATTTGAAAAAAAAAATATTCCATCAAAGACTAGAAATATTCAGTGTCCAGTACCTTTGCCCTCTATCACTCAAATCTCTTTCCTCTGCAATAAGAGCATTTATCAAATTCAGGAAAGATATAGTTGAAGGATATTGTTCTCTTCTCGCTTCAATTTCATTCAATTCAAATTGCATATCATAAACCTGTCATAATAACAAGTTTACTTGGACATGAGAGAAAGATAGTAGACAATCGTAAAGATATAAAGGCAGAAAGGGAAGGGAGAAAATAGTGGACGAAGCACAAAATTAAATGATAGAGTTTGCAGGAAAGATGAACCAAAAGTGAGAAAAGGAGGAAGAAGGGCTACATATATTACTAGTGCTCGACTTTTTAGATCAAATTATTTTAATATCCTTTATTGTTAGGTTGTAGTGCTACAGTACTGGTCAAAATGGTACAACAGGAAGAATTATTTTTTGGATTTAACACTTGAAAAGTACTTCTTTAGTTCTATTATTGTAGTGTGGGATAATATAAAGTACTTTTATTAATGAAAAATTACTTTTCAACAAAAAGCCAATGTAGATTATATTCTTCTTGCTATATAATACATGTTATAAGTATAATACAAGTTGTATAGCAAATCACAACTCAAATGTAATACATCTCGGAAATTATGAAAATAGTACCTAGTTTCATTGAAAAGACTAACCAAATCATGTTATCATGGTAATTAAGATTCTATGATTTTTGTATTTATTACTTTCCGTCTGTATGACTCAATCTTTATTGTGCAGTTCAACACACTGAATTCATCAATGTCTTGCTTTCTCTTCATATGAACATAGTATCTTGAGCCTAACAAGAGGCAACACACAGAAATGGCGGACCCACCGCCCAACGGTGAAATTATTTTCCCAAAGACTCTGTTTCAACTCTAATTTCCAATCTCCAATGCCAAGTCCTTATTCCAGCAGCCTGACACCTTTTTTGGGCACTGTCCTCTTGTTAGAGTACAATTGTAATAAAGTGTTAAGTGAATGAGAAGAGAATAACAAGAAACCTGCATGATTAAATGATTATGTGGCATTAGATAGTTAGATGATTACTTCGCTTGTAAGTAGTTAGTAGAATGTTCTGGAGAGTGGTTAGAGTTGTTATATTCATGTATAAAACAGGAGCATAGATGTAATAGAGTTTCATCTGATGAATAATACCGAAATTGTTTCTTGTTGTCCTTTTAGTTTCTTTCATTAACCATTGGTTAGGAGCTCTCACCCTAACAGTGGTTCTTTCATTTCGAACTACCATCAGCCATGAAAGTCCAAGATTTAGCAGAGGAGTTGCATGTTTTTTAGCAGCGATATGATCAGCGATTCGAGGAGAGTCAAAAGCAGCAGCACTCAAGATCAAATTGCCATGATTCTTGCCCAAATGCAAGATATTCATGCAGCTGTTGTGTAAAGGAAGGTGCAAAACAATGATCATGAGAAACCAAGAACACGATCTCCACTGGTGGAAACATCTACATCATTACATACATCTAGGCCTGAAAATCAAGATCAACGTGCATTAGCAAGATTCGCAAGAATGGAGCTTACGAATTTTGATGGCACGGATCCACATACGTGGATATTCAAGGCTGAAATGTACTTTGATATTCAGCAGGTACCAGATTGCAAGAAGGTGCAAGTGACAGGTCTAAGAATGACGGGGATGGCGGCAGCTTGGTATCAGTGGATGTTTCGCTCTTGGGGGGATTTATCAAGTATTTTATGCCAATGTTTTGGCACTTCCACTGACCTACAAGGTGTTCTCTCAAAGCTCTCACAGACAGGAATGCAAAGGGAGTATAATCAGCAAATCAAAAGCTTAATCAACCAAGTCCCTGGCTTATCAGATGATCTTCTCAAGAGTTTTTTTACTTCCGGGCATCAACCAGAATTGAGGAGTGCTCTAAAATTAAGTGAACCAGTTTCCTTGCACCAAGCAATGCAACAAGCACTCGCATATGATGACCACTTTACAGAGCTTAAAGCTTCTTTCAATTCGTCAACAAGAAGTTACACGTCAGAAGTAGCAGTGTCACCAGAAGCTACTGATAACACCAAGAGTAGTTCATTAACTGTTTCTTCTAATATCAAGAAAATGATGCACGAGCAAATACAAAAGAAAAGGGAGCTTGGTCTCTACTACAGCTGCGACAAGAAGTGGACAAATAAACATAATTGCAAGAGCAGATTGTTGTTACTAGTGGGAAATGAAGAAGAAATTCGTGTAGAGGAGGAAGAGGAAAATGTATGGCAATCTTCAGTTACTTGACACCTATGGCATGACTTGCAGAACACTGGGAGAAGGTTAAGGGTCATCAGCATTATTCATTTTTGGGTACAATGGAGAAATAAACTGTGTTTTGTCTTTTACATTCATTAGGATCTCAGTCCAAATTGTAGCAGCTTTTGAAGAAAGCTTACCCTGATCTCAACCTTGAGGACAAGGTTGCCAATGAAGGCGGGGAGAATGTTAGGGTACAATTATAATAAAGTGTAAAGTGATGAAGAAGAAAGTAACAAGAAACCTGCATGATTAGATGATTATGTGGCATTAGTTAGTTAGATGATTACTTCGCTTGTACGTAGTTAGCAGAATGTTCTGGAGAGTGATTAGAGTTGTTATATTCATGTATAACACAGGAGCCTAGGTGTAATAGAGTTTCATCTGATGAATAATACTGAAATTGTTTCTCGTTGTCCTTTTAGTTTCTTTCATTAACCATTGGTTAGAAGCTCTCACCCTAACACCCATGCTGATCTGCTAACGTCCAACGTGCTTTCTAGCCAGCAACCACTCCATCAATGTTGCCTCGTCCAAAACAGCCCATCCCACACCAGTTTTTGGTTGATCAAAGTTCCTATTAACTCTAAAGTGATGTCAAACATCTTTCACATCTCGCACACAAGCTGCCACTTCAAGCCACATGTGGCAGTGCATTAAAAGTCCTTTCCGACAACGTTTGTCTTGAATTTGAAGAACTGTGTCTACAACCACCACACAAGGATTCTATTAATAAAATACACGGGCTTGGGTCCTATTTACATGATGTGGGACTGACTAACACAACATAATGTATATATATATATATATATATATATATATATATATATATATATTCTAACACTCCCTATAACACCTCACATATTTGAAATGTATTTTAATAATTAAATTATGGGCTAGAGGGAGTAATTAGTGAAAATAGGTCAAAATACATACGAAGGGTAAAATGGTAAATTGACAAATACGTAACATTAATCTGTGAAATGATAAAATTAGACATTATTTGATGAAAATAATATTGGAAATGGATTCAGAGAGAAATTTGGAGTGGATAATCAAGTTTCTGGAAAATTAATGAATAGTGACTCTTACCGAATAAAATACTGCGGTAAAATTCTACCGGGTCAGAAACAAGATTACTGCTCTAGGATTGGATATATGTTGAAGGAGGTATTTAGAATCAAGAAAAGTGATTAGCGGTACTATTCGATGAGTTTTTATGGTTTTGGGAAAACGTGCCGATAGTGCATAACTAGGGGTAAAATTGTAATTTCATCAAATTACTGGAAAACTCTAGATTCATCTGTTAAAGTATAATTAATGGACTTTGATAAATGTTAAAATTTTGATTAAATGGATGATTCATGGATTGATTGGTAATTAGTGGGTTAAATGAGTAGTTTAAGTGGTATTTCGTCCTATTAGAGCCTATGTAGCAATCCTAGTCACTTAAGGTCATTTGAATCTCTCCTTCTCTATCCAAATCTGCACTCAGAGCCCTCCCTCCCACTGCAGACCCAAAGCCCCCATTGAAGACACTTGAAGCTTTTAAAAAATTTCCATCTTCCATTGTAGTCACTTTGAGAGGAAACTTTGAACATCAAATTTATTCCAAATCACCTTGCAAACATCTTTCCTCTCTTGAGTGTGTGCTGGGGAGGATTGTGTGAAGAGATCATTGTCTCTCTTTGGCTGGCGGTTTTGAGCTTGGAGAGGCCATTAATGGAGGTTTGGCTTACTTAAGGACTTGCAAAACATTGGTGGTGAGTAATTCCATTTCCATTGAGTTTTTAATGAGATCATAAAATTCATGCCCTGTGTGTGTATGTGTGTGTGTATGTGTATGTGTATGTTTGGTTTGGGTAGTTGGAGGCCTTGGATGGCCATATGGCTTTGATGATTATTGCTTGGAATGATGTCTTGTGTAGGAAAATCAAATAAAATTTTAAGGCCTTTGAAAATTTGTAACTTACAAAATTTTGGTTGGATGAACATAGGTTACTTGCAAAACAAGTTATTGAGGAATGATGTGATTGGATTGTGGATGGTTTGAATCATTAATAGAAAGGTTGTAGAAGTGTTTAATGCATGTCAATTGGTTGAAAAACTCTTGGATCCCTTGCTTGAATACCCCACGCCCTTGAGAGGCTTTTTGAGGAAAATTGTGCAAAAATATATTTTGGCTTCATGAGGGGATGTTATGAGTGTTAAATTAATTAGGAATGGACCTAAGTGTGTACCTAGAACCATGAAAATTGAGAAAAATCTCTTGGATCCATGCATGCACCCACTTGGCCTTGATAGGTAAAATTGGGGGGAAATGGTGCTAAATTATAATGTAGGGTAAATAAGGATTGAAATTATGTTTGGAGAGGTTAATGAAGTCATAATGATGGTTGATTAGAATTAGAAAACAAAATGGGGACATTTGGCCATGCTTGGCCGTGGCATAGGGTGTTGAGTGGAAGGTGTTGTGTTGTTTTCTTTGTGACTTGTTGGACAAGTAATTGATGGTCATGTGTGTGTGATCATTGTAGGTTGCCTTCCTCAGGGATATGTTCTTGGATGTGGACTCGACTTTGATTGTTTGATATATACTTTACTATATGTGTATTATTACTGTTTTACATTTGAGTGAGTCATTGGGTGGAGTGACCCTCCAGAACTATTGGTTTACTGAGATTATCAAATCTCATCCCGTGTTATTTGGATTACATTTTAGGTACCACTAATGCAGCTGGAAAGGCTTTGGGCAAGAGGCCCAACTTGGGTTTCAGAGATGGAAATGGAGGTTGCACTTGCATTTTGGGATTTTGGAGTAGTTTAATTACTGCCTATTATGTTTTATAGACTAAGTGCATGAACATTGGTCTTGCATGTGAAGTATTGCCATGCTTAGGGTTGTTCATGCTAAGGATTTTGTAAACGATATCAAAATTGCAAAACATTCTCCCGTATTTTTAGATGAACTGATGTGATTGTAACTTAATATCATAATTAATGATAACATAACCGGATGCATACGAAGTGTTACACTCCCTCTCAAGCTAGTGCGTACATATCGTAGGCACAAAGCTTGATACAAATACAATCAACCCGAGGACCCCTAAGAGCCAAAGTGAAACTATATGCAAATAAATCATTGGAGCTTACGAATGCTATCTCGATCTCTCTAGAATGAATCTTCGCTCGAATAAAATGACAATCAATTTTGATATGTTTGGTCCTCTGATAAAAGACTGGAATAGAGGATATGTGCAAAGCTAACAGAGTTGTCTCCTCAAGAATGTCCATAGCATATTTGGTTTGGGATATCACAATATCATCTTTGGATTGGGCCACATCTATCCATAAGAAATATTGTAGTCTTCCAAGATCTTTTATCTAAAAATGATGGTACAGATATTGTTTTACCTGAGTAATGCCATGATGATCATCAGATGAAATAAGTCATCAACATAAATGGATCCTAAAATAGAGTGGCAATAAAATACTGAGTGATCAACCTGACTTCGAGTCATGTCAAGTTGCTATACAACAATGCTAAATCTTCCAAACAAAGCTTGTAGAGATTGCTTTAAACCATATATGGACTTGCGGAGACCACAAACTAGGCCAAACTACCCCCAAGCAACAAACCTAGAGGTTGCTCCATATAAACATCTTCTGCAAGATAACCATGGAGGAAAGCATTCTTGACATCTAGTTGATACAGAGACTAGTAATGAATACCAGCCATAGTAAGAAAGAAGCGAACAGAGGCCATTTTTGCCACGGGGGAGAACTTGTCTCCATAATCTAGGCCAAACATGAGTATATTCCTTGGCCACCAACCGAGTCTTGAGACCCTCCACCTAACCATCAAGACCAACTTAGACAGTGTATATCCATTTGCAAACAACAATAGACTTCCAAGAACGAAGAGGAACCAAATCCCAAGTACCACTGCTATGAAGGGTACGTATTTCATCAATCATAGCTTATCTCCATCCTGAATGAGATAATCTCACCTATGGTCATGGGAATAGTAACAGAAGACAAAGAAGAAAGAGAAGCAAAATACGAAGATAAAAGCCAATGACAACTTAAAGTAACATAATGGGGTGAGGGAATACGAGTAGTACAAATAACTTTGCATGGAGCAATTGGTAGGGCACGGCCGGAGCTGAAGCAAAGTCTGCAGGAACCTCAACAGCAACAGGAGCAAGTGCAAAGTGGAGGTATTCAAAGGGGATAAACCTAAAAGGGGCAGACAGAAACTATGGTGGTGGTGGAGGTGGTGGTGGTGGTGGTGGTGTAAACTCAACCAAGGTCTGAGGAAGCGATAGGGTAGAAGAGACTGACTCAGGGGTGAATGAAGAGAACCCAAAATAGGGATATGATTCAAAGAAGGTAACATCAACCGAGATTAGATAACAGCGAAGAGTGGGAGAGCGGGAGAGTAACACTGTAACCCTTCTGGACCGAGGGTAGCCAAGAAAGACACACTTTAAGTAATCAATTTATCAAGGCTAGGACAAAGGTTATGGACAACACAAGTAGAATCAAACACACGGGGGGCCAAGGAATGCAAAAGTTGATAGGGAAACAACACAGAATGAGATACTCTGTTATCAGGGACAAAGCAAGACATCTGATTGATGAGATAACACGTAGTGGAGACAACATCACTCCAAAATCGATAAGGGACATGTCCATGGAGTAACAATGTCCGAGTTGTTTCAATCAGATATCGGTTCTCTCTTTCAGCAATCCCAGTTGTTGGGGGTATCAACACAAGACGTTTGGTGAATAATGCAATGAGGGCATATAAAATTTTGAAATAAGTGAGACAATTATTCACATGCATTATCCCTATGGAAAATGCGAATAGGAACACCGAATTGAGTATGAATTTCATGATAAAATTGTTGAAATATGGAAAACAATTCAGAATGATTTTTCATTAAAAATAACCAAGTGCAACGAAAATAATCATCACTAAATGTGACAGTATCTAAACCCCATGGTGGACTCATTAGGACTAGGGCCCTAAATATCAGAATAACAAAACTAAAGGGAGATGAAGCACGGTGATTGACTTTTTCGCGAAAGGAAATGTGGATATGTTGTCCTAATTGACATGACTCATACACCAATGTAGACCAGACGAGGCACCATCATTTGGAGCTTGCCAAGACTAGGATGACTAAGTTGAGCATGGTAATGAGCGAAAAATCCTAGACAGGACAATCGTGAGAAGAGCTGGAAAGCAATAAAGCCCATTACACTCATCGCTGACACCAAGCATCCTCCCCAAACCCCTGTCCTGTAAAACAACAGTGTCTTTGGTAAAAGAGATGAGATAGTTAAGAGAACAAGTTAATCAACTATACTTTGTAACCATTAGCCATAGTGATTGTAGGCAAGTAACAAAAAGTAGAAAGAGAAGATAATAAAGACTAATTATCAATGAGTTGTTGGCCCCCTTTAGAGACGCCCCTGAAGAGTCTCAATCAATGGAGCACCTTCTTCTTGATGCTAACCCACTATGGTTTGCCTCCAGAATATTTGGGCAACAATAATCAAATTTTAGGATCACCCATTGTCCCTACGTTAAACACAGCTTGATCCACATTACTTCAGAAACCGACCAAACAACCCTTTACTTCCCAATTGCATCTTGAGTCAGTATCCCTTTAGTTAATTCTAAAAATCATAGGCACATGTGTCAACTATGGGTTCCAAGGGAAAACATCCTTGCTCTTGTATCAAACTAACCAAGAAAAAAAAAATAACAGCCAAAAAAAATAAATGTTAGAAATCCAGTGAACCCAGCCACTGCATCAATTGTCGTCCTTCCCCTTCACTACGCTCATTCCCACCGTCACAGCCACAATTCAACAACTAAAGTCATCATGCTCCATGACCCGCCATCAATGTTGCCATTCATCGCTTGATCTTCATTAACAAGCTACTCAATATAAAAATTATATGATAAATGTAAAAATTAATTAAAAAATATCTAAATTATTAACAAGCTACTCAATATAAAAATTATATGATAAATGTAAAAATTAATTAAAAAATATCTAAATTATTAATAAAGAGGGAGGATATTCTTACTACCAAAAAAACTCATTACTAACCCACTACCTATCTAATCACCACTAGTTCAGAGAGAGAGAATGCTAAAAAGTTTCTGAAGAGAGAAAAAATGTTGATCCAATGGTGATTAGATAGGTAGTGGGTTGGTAGAGAAATTTTTTGGTAGTAAGAATATCCCCTCTCATTAATAAATTATAAACAATATCAAAGGGTAAAAATAATTAAATGATAAATATTAAAATAACAAAAAAAATATCTAAATCTTGTCCTCTGCCTTTTCTTAGTGCAAACCAAACATTGTCTAGTGTTGTTTGGTCCAGTACTTACACATATCAAAGAATATACAACACAAAATTGCTTTCAATGTGCATCAACTATCAAATAGGAAGGAGAACAAAAAAGTTTTGTGCCTCAACTAATTGTCTAGTGTTGTTCTATTTGTGATGTCCCTTAATATGTCCCTCAACACAAATATTGTCACTTTTATTCATAATTACTCATGTTTTACTTGGTTATTTTTAATGGAAAATTTGCTTGAGAACTTTTTAAAAAGGATTATGCAAACATTCTAAAAATTGTAAATAGTACTCATTAAAAGAATTCTTCTTTTCCAAATTAGGACACCTAAACGAACTCTAAATCATTCATTTGTCTACACCTAACAACTTAAACTTTTAGGAGAAATGATTTTGAACAAATTATTAAAACCTATTTGACCAATTAGTCAAGACTTTTAAGAGTTTAATATAAGTTATGCGCTGCTTGTTTTTACCCACAATTCAAGCCAAAAATCTTTCACATGAGGGGATGTGGGTATAAACTATAAATCATTCCTAAGCATGTACCTTATAGACTAACCATTCAGAAGAATTGTTTATTGACAGTTTTGATAGAACTAATTTACAAGACAGATATACCAACCTGAGTAGCTATGGCTTGTGGACTGTTTTGGACATCAGGCCCAGCAACAACTGACAGATCATATTGCTCAAGATAGGTCCAAATGCTATCCTTCAATGCCGGAGAGACATTAATAAATGTGGATATTGCGTTCCTTAGAGCACCCTATATTCCCATCAAACACGGCAAACATTTCACTTGGAACTCCTAGCTCTCAAAAAAATCAATAATCACATTATACATTTAACCTTCCAGCAAGAACATTGTGATATAACCATCATACCTTGAGATAAGGCGGTACATTTTCGTAACTAAGAATCTTGAACAGTGGTTCAATATCAGGAAACCAATTTTTCCTTTCTAAAGGGTTCCCATTTTCCACAACCTGTATATACATGAGAAACACAGTAAAAAGCATTGTTCCTTTAAATTGGAAGAAAACTGAAAAACGCAAGTCTCAGCAATGAAACATTAGACGCTGCATGAAGCAACTTAAACCAAGGATTTCTAGCCAGTAAGCAAATCAACAAATAAACATGTTTTCATTTATCAGAGAAAACTTTCTAATATTTCAACATATCTTAGTCAAACTCAACCATCAATGTTAAAAATCCAATAGTGGACAGCCTATATAAAAAGAACTGTAGAAGACAAACATTAATGTGATATAATATAAAATATAAAATCATTCATCTGCCTTCATCTACAAGCTTAAGCTATTAGATTGGATTGGTTCTTGGCATAAAGTTTGGGCCACACAAGGTTGGATTAATTTAGCCTAGAGAATCATGCATAAGGGAAACGAGAATAAGCCCAAAGTTTGGAGTCACCCATGTTGAACTGATAGAGCAACTTAGTCTATGAGTCATGCAGAGAGGAAGTAATCTGGTCATATGATCTCCATGGAAAACCCTTAATTTATCAAGATTTAAAGTGGAAATCAAACTAATCCAAACCAATTGAGGGAGTTCTAAATATTATTTTCAGGGAGCTTACAAATGTTTTCGGCCACATGTAATAATACTCCTAGCAAAAGGAGTAACATGAAACAATAAATTAAGAACTGAATCATAAAATAGCTTAAATCAAGTACTAAATTGTGGGCAAGGTACATGAACATTTATTGGTATAAAATACAATCTATCCAATAAAAGTTGATATAAGAAAATAGGCGAGGTTAAACCTTCTTTAGAACATTTAAGTATGCCATAAGTGCTTTTGCATCTCCCTCCTGAATTTCAGGCAACATTGCTCCAGCAGTTTGAAGAGACTGTTTGAATTTCTCATCATAAATTGTTAAGCATTCAAACAAAGTGCTCCACCCAATTGAGCGGAATGCTTTACCCTGAAGCAACTCAAAAACTTTTGAAGCACCTTCTTGACTAGAAGCCTGAAAAGGAGTGTCCCAAAATTCTAGGACATTAGAAAAGTTGAACAGCAAGATTGAGATATCAAAATCAATCAGAAACTTCATTACCATGGTGCTCAGCATATTCAAGAAAGCCACGAGTGTTTGAAAATTCGTATGGTCCTCCCCAGCAAAATTTACAAATGTCCACAACACGTCATTGCCTGACAGGAGCTCTGGTTCTTTCTGATAAAGTATGATAAAATTCAAGATCATAATTGCAAGCAAAAGCCTTAAATACCAAGCATATTACTTCTATGGCATTTAAATCCTTTAAAAAAAATAAGGCATCAAAAAGCCAATCAACCACACAGCTTTTACAGATTTGTTTTTTCTTCTAAAAAGCAAATGTATAGGATTTTTTAGTGTACTCGGAGAATGTATCATCTAAGAGCAGCAAAAACATAGCAATTGGCATCAACCATTTGAAACTTCAGATAATCAGATCAATTTAAAAGTTATATTGATTGCTTCACATAAGAACAGAAATTTCCATATATTTCGTGGCCATTTGGTATAACTGACCTGATAAATTTCACTCACAAAATCCAAGATTGAATTAAATGGTAAAGGGCCCATTTCAGTGCCATGTAGAGAACTTGATGTACTGTCCTGAGCAAAATCATGTGATGCAACAACTCGGTATGGACTAAGCACACTCATAATCCGCTCCTTGGATTCTTTAATCTGCAAAAAGTATATATAAAAACTTAAAGTACAAAACAAAAAAAAAGGATATACCATAATAAAAACATTTATATTTGCAATAATTATCTAACAAAATAACTTTTGCAATTAGATTTTGTAATTTCAGTAATTTGAAAACAAATCCAATGTAATTAAGAGAACTGAATTTTACTATACCAATAGAAATGAATATTTAATAATGATTTTCAATGAAGAGATCAACCCCGTGAAAAAAAAATCATAAATCATTTTGAATATTGGAATCAGGGTCATACCGCTAGTATTAAACTAAAAGAATATAGTTCATATCCTGTAATTCTAATTATAAACAAAAGAATAGAAAAGCATAGAGACATTGCCATTGCATTCTAAACCAAAAAAGAATTCAAAACTGAGCTAACGGGCATTTCACCAGGTACAAAAAGGAGGAATAACCCAAAGAACAATAGGAAAGAACCACCTTTAAATGTCAATGTCCATTTATTTTGAATATGATACGATCAAACTCAAATGAAACAAATACTTCAGCTGATTGTATTAATAGAAATGAATCCAAAGCTTAAGTCACTCTGTTACAACAATTACCTGTAATTTCCAGTATATGAACTTCAACAAACAAAGGAAAAAGAAACAACACTCAGTAACACAACGCCATTACAGAGCACACATGAGACACCCTGTGTATCTCCCAAGCCTAGCCTATTTCCCAATGACCCAAAAGGTACTCCCTAATGCAACACATGACTATTTCAACCTACATTGTGCCACTCTCGTAACTAACTTTCTACTCAAGTGGCTGCATAACAGATTCCTTTGGCGACTCAGCATTAACCACATTTCCCATGGGCCTAACCCTATCAATACTCCCCCCAATTTAAGCACCTTGAGGACAAGGTGGGAATGAGGAAATAAACCCTGTAACTCTTCCAAATCCTTCCAAATCAACATTCCCAGCAGCACCATGGCGCCACTACAGCACATCTTCTGGCTCCACGTTCCCAATCGACAGAAAGCATTGGGGGTAATGGTTAATATAATGACCCTAACTGGTTTAATTTAAGGATTTAAATGTCATAATTAGATTCAGAGTGAGATTTCGAGTATTTTGACTGTAATCATGACTAGGTTATGAACAGTGCGTTCTGCCGGGTGATCTGCATTCTTGTGAATTAACCGGTAGAGCTAAAATGAGTAAAATGATTTTAGAGATATAATTTGATAATGCTGAAGCCAAATATGAGTTCAGTTCAGAACAAAAAATTATATAGTCTGGCACTTTCCGTGAAAATCTCGTGAATAGTGTTTCTACCGGGTATTTTGTATTGCTGTTTAAGCAACCGGTAGAGTCCAGAAGCAAATAATTAATGAAATAAGAATAAGAAAGTCCAATATATGCCAAGCAAGTCAAAATAGACCCAAGAATAATAAGTTTATAAGTTTTAAGTTTCGTAAGCGAACTAGGTACAGTTAGTGATTCACAGTGCATTTCGTCAAAAACGGTGCAGTAACCATACTGTGAATTATGAATATGATTCCTTAAGAAATAAAAATTAATGTAAATGAGTTTAGAAAAATAAAAATATGTTCGTAGCTCTAAGTTAGTTTCGGGTCAGTTTAAGTGAAAATACGCGATAGAAAAACAACCGGTAAAAAGGGCCACCTATGCATATAAGTCCAACTCACCTAAGTAATCACTATTCACATCAGCATATCTCTCTTCTCTCTCTTGAAAACCTGAGGTACTCATCAACAAAGGGGGGGTTAGGGTTTGGATTTCTTTCTTTGATTTCTCCATCATCAATCCTCCAAATCCAAAAGTCTATTACATGAAATTGCTTGTAAACCACCCAATGAAGCCATTCCACCCCACCATTTGAGCTGATTTCGTTTGTGGAGGGAGATATTCACCACCCCCTTTTCGGTTCACTATTCATCAAAGGTGAAAAATGGAGCTTTTGGTGGAGCTTTGCTTGGTGAATGTCTTCTAGGCTTTGGATAGTTGATTAGAGGTAACAAAACTCTAATCCTATGATTTTAGTCTTGTGATTTATGTTGTGAAAGTTATGAACATGTATGAGTGGGAAATAATTTAGTTTAAAATTCGAATTGATGATGTTTTATGGATGTTTTGAATGTAGGAATGTTAAATAAGCCTTTGTGTATGTATAAAATTAGAAAAAAATCCCATGGTCTTATGCCCTCTCTGTTCGGCCATCATGGGTAATGAGGGGGTATTGTGCAAAAATTTATTGTATGTATTGAGAAGGTTTAATAGGTTGGAATAATTGGAAAATGAGTGAATTAGTGAGATTGCCAAAGTAGAAAAAAAATCCTATGTAATATGTCCCCTATGTTTCGGCCTTGTGAGACTTGGTAGGGGTGTGATGTTCAAAAATCTAGTTGGATACCTTGTAGAGATATATCTATATAGGTATATGCATATGTGAGCTATTTATTAAGTGAAGAAAATTGCATAAAAAAGAAGAGAAAACCTTGGTTTCTCCCTCTTGGAATTCGGCCTAGAGGGTGATTTAGGGGTAGATTTATTTACATTTTATTTTAATGAAATGTGTTGTTGTCCAATGGATGAAATTGACAAATTAAAGAAGGGAAATGACTTAAAAATTGTTTAAAGAAATCTTGGTTCCCTTTATTGTGTACCACGGCCTTATAGAGAAAAATGGCATGAATTATGTTAAAAATTCTCATGTGGATACTTAGTTAATTTAGGGAACGCTAACGATTATAAAATGGTCTTGACTTGCGTATTGGCATAGGATTGGCAAAAACGTAAAGAAACGGAAATGAACGAGAAAATGCATGCCTTATGAAAATCTAGGCATGATAGTATTTTATTGATTTGAATTTTGGATTCTTTCTCTTGGTGTACCTAGGGACTGAAAAGGATCGGAATCTCTTGAAGATATATAAGTAACTTATGCCACAAGTAAGCGTTTTGGTAAAGCTTCAAGAGGTAAGCTCTATGTTTTGAGGAGTCTTTTCCTGCTTGAGTGCTCCACCATGGTTAGTGAACTATGGTTGGACTTTATGACTGTTGTGTTGATACTTTGTATAGATGCATTCATATAGAGTTATTTGATAACATGATATGACTTGTTCTGATATGATTTTTGTATTGACGTATGGTACACTGATGTATTCTTGGCGTTTCCCTGAGATTGACAATGTACACCTTTGACATGCTCTGGTTCTGCTTGGGGTCCTCCCTTGGGAACACGTGCGTTGATTTCCCCTTGGGGTCCTCTCTAGGGAATGACAGCGCACGCCTCTGATATGATATGAATATATGCTTTGTTCTGTTATGATATCTGATGTAACAGCCCCAAACCCTGTAGCATGATATTGTCCGCTTTGCCCCGCGCACAAGCACCGTCGAGCTCACAGTTTTGTTTCTTGGGACACCCCACAAAAGGCCTCACACTAGAAGAGGTATCCACACCCTTATAAGGCATGCTTCGTTCCCCTCTCCAACCGATGTGGGACATTACATCCTCCCCCACTGGGAATACAGCGTCCCCGCTGTACACACCAGTCCAGGGCCAGGCTCTGATACCAAAAGTAACAGCCCCAAACCCTGTAACATGATATTGTCTGCTTTGCCCCGCGCACAAGCACCGTCGAGCTCACGGTTTTGTTTCTTGGGACACCCCACAAAAAGCCTCACACTAGAAGAGGTATCCACACCTTTATAAGGCATGCTTCGTTCCCCTCTCCAACCGATGTGGGACATTACAGTTATATGTGCCATGTATACTCTGTATCTGACTTTCATGCAGGAGTGAGACAGGAGTATGGAGAATTTTCTATAAACCTGGAGCTTATTGAGATTGTTATCTCACCCCTTTTTGGGGACATTATTTCAGGTTCTCAGATCCCCGGTGAGCTCTCACTAAGCAGGGACGCGACCCGTGGTTGAGGCGTTTCGACAGATTGGATTTTGAGTCGCGGTGGGCTACTGTATTTTGGAGTACAGTGATGTTATTTAGTATTTCAGTATTTTGTGGATCATGATGTTTGATCCTTTATTTTGTATATGGCCTGTATATGTTTTGTACATGACTGTCAGTTTGATGCATGTACATTTGTGTATCCAGGCACGTTATATGATGATGTAGTATTCAGTTTATGTTTACATGTTGGATTGCATGCTTATTAAATATAGTGGCACGGAGCCAAGTTATGCATGCGCCCATGGATGGGTATGAGAGTATACTTGCATGACTGGTACTTCTGGATTGATATGCTGTATAAACGATCTATCAGGAAACTCTTCTGAGTGGGATTGGAAAATCCCCAGTTGTCCGATTTATAGAGGAAACTCTGTCCGATTTTCGTTTACGCCGAGTAAGAATTAAACTAGAAAAAGAAAAAGTTAGCTCGTATTTTTGTAAGTTAAGTCTTCCGATGTTTCTGTTTGTATCATATGCATGTTAATTGAACCGGCTCGAGACGGGATGTTACAGTTAAGCATTCGCAACAGGGTTGATAGCCTTCTTCAACAAGTAAACATGAAATACTGGATGAACACGACAACCAGCAGGTAACAGAAGTCGATAAGCTGCAGGTCCAACTTTATGTAACATCTCAAATGGTCCATAATATTAGAGAAGTATAAAACCATTAATGCAGCCTCACCCATCAGTTTAAGCTTTTAGGTTGAATTGATTCTTTACATGGTATCAGAACCTCGATGTCCGGGTTCAATCCTCACCGCCCCTATTTTAATTAATAATTAATTAGGTCTTGTGAAGTTTATTAACATAGATAGGTGGGTCTGTGCATTATCCACGCTTCAAGCCTAGTGCGCTCTAGTGTGAGGGGGCGTGTTAGAGAAGTATAAAACCATTAAATGTAGCCTCACCTAACAACTTAAGCTTTTGGGTTGAATTGGTCATTTATACATAATAACGGGGACTCAACTTTTCGTCTATCTTCTTGACAAGTGTCTTGAGCCTATAAGGTTGGATCTTCAAATAAAC